GCCCCGCCAGCAGGGAGAGAGCATTCGTGCCCAGGGAAGGGGAGCAGACCCAGCTCACGGGGAGGGGGGCTTGCCTCCCTGTTTGGAAAGGTGTTGCGCGGCCGGCTGCGACCCGCCTGGGCTCAAACCTGTCGCTTCACCCTCGGAGCGTAACTTCCCTTGCCCGTCCGCGCTGGAAAGATAAGGAATGAAATGCTCCCCCCCTCCTCACAGAGAAGTGGGAGCGTCTAGGCAGCTGCTAATAGACAGCCAAGGACTATGTATAACCAAACGGGGGAGGCGGATGGAGAGTTAAAGCCCGAGCGAGAACAGCTGAGGAGCAGCCCGAGCGAAAACGGGGGGAGCGGAGGATCCCTCTGCTTGGAAGAGTCTCCTGCGGTGAGTGGGTCTCGGTTTGCCCTCTTCGTCTTCTCCTCCTTCGTCTCGGGAAAGAAGCGCTCCGCATCCCCCCAGCCCGAGTGCCGTAGCGATGAATCTGGGTCGCCCGGGGAGCCTTCGGGGCTCGCCCGCACTTGGGGGGAGGTGGGGGGTCGTTCCGGCTGGATCCTGGCAGGAAGGGAAGCAGAGGCTGCGCTTCTGATCTGCAAACGATGGTTAATGGCTTAGCGTGTTGCCGAATTCAGCCCATGTTGGCTTGTTTAGCGGACTGGTTAAACAAACGTAGGGCAGGGGGAGCCCGGTCTCAAGGTGACTCCTCTCGCCTCTCAACCACAGGCGCGCTTTTGCAGCTCGGCAGAGCTGAGTGGGGGAGGCGAACCGTAGTTCCCTCTTGGGGGGGCGGGCGGGAGGGGGGGATCTGGCGTGGGCAACCCTAATCGTTTCGCCCCCTTTGAAACACTTTTTAACGACGCTCCCCCGCCGTAACTTCTCGGGGGCAGTTAAAGATCCGGCGGCGTCTACAGAAAGACTTCGTGGCCGAGATCGTGCCGAGAAAGACCCCGAGAAGTAGCGAAGAGACGCGACCTGGTGTTTGGAGGCTTTCCTTGGAAACGCTGGTAGGTTTGGACCGGAGGGTGCCAGGACGCTCGCGCCCCTGAGCCGGTGCCAAAACAACGTCCGCGGGGAGGGGATCAGCCAGCCCGAGGAGGAAGAGGAGGAGCTGTTTTCGCCCTCGAGGAGGGGCGCCGGGCTGCTCCTCAGCCGCTGCGAGTCTTGCCGAGCCGTGGAGGACTCGGGAGCGGGGCTGGGGGCTAGTCGAGCCTCCTACTCTGCCCGCGGCGTTTAGGGTTTCCGAAATAAAGTCTAAGGCGGGAGCCCCCGAAAAATCCGGACGGGCGCTGCACAGGAGCCAAGGGCAAGAGTTCTGTCGGTATGCGTTGCCTTCTGCTTTATTTTTTTTTAGTTGATTTCCTCACAACTGCAATGGAAAATTAAACAGCAACACTTTTATCTAGTGGTTGTCTAGATTTCTGCAGCTCAGATCCGGTAGCACAAGTTTGAGATGTTTACAAACACGCTTGCACTTAAATCGTCACCATTATCATCTTCATTTAGACGGTTGGGTGGTGTGTTTTTTTCCTAACTCGACCAATAACAAAGTTACTTAATTATTACATGTTTCTAAGAGCACAGGAAAAGGGTAAACGTTGGCTCTTTTAAATGAAATACAGATTCTCCTGATTTCTTAAGATATTTACATGGGCTCCACGTGAAACCACTGTCAAGTCATAAGTTATGTCTATTAGTACAGAATACACCATAACAAGAACAGATCTCACCATTTCTGGTTCTGCACAGATTCTCTTCATTTTTGCATGAGATCATGTGCAACCACCATCAAATCACAGGACACAGTTGCCAGCACACAATGAGGCTTCTCAGTCATAGATCCACTGTGATATTAAAACAGATTTGAAGCATGGATCTTCCTGATTTCATATCCTTACATGGAATCTACATGAAATCATCAAGAAGTAAATTATGTCTGTTCGTTCAATACAATTTAACAATCATGGATCTCACCAATTTTGGCTCCGACATGGCACAAAAATAGGATTTGAGGCAGAGATCATCTTGATTTTGCTTTATTTTTAAGTGAAATTCACATGAAATCATTCTGATGTCATAGAACACCTTTGTTTCTATACAGTGACCTACCACAATAGATCCAATCATTTTTAGCCCTATGATAGTATGTGTACTCGTATTTGAGGCATGAATCTGCATGATTTTTTACATCAGATCCAGCTGAAATCATTGCCAAAACATTGATCATAGCTTTTTGCATAAAACCAAACATCAAAATCACAGATCTGAGGCTCTGGGGCAACACCATAATGTAATGAATTAGTATTTGAAACAAGAATCCTCATGAATATTCTTGATTTTTACACACAATTTGTCTGAAACATCAAGTGATAAATCACCTCTTCTAAATGGGCAGAAAAACAAAAATCACAAAACTGGTACTTTTTGCTTCCAGTGTGTTGCAAAACCAAAGGAACTTGGTTTATTTAAATTTTACCTGATGATAATTCAGCCATAGAATTCAAAGCAGGCAAAATTAATCTGAAAGTAAACACACAGAGGATATAGATCATCCAAAGTGGTGGTGATCGATAGATGTATTGATAGATTCTGTTGATAGATTCTATGAGCAGATGCCAAAATCCAAGGGAACTACATAAGTACATAGATGCAGGTCCTGTCTGCCAAGGAGTTACATTTGGTGGGTCCCAGGACAGGCCTTCTCTGCCGTGGCACCCGCCTTGTGGAATCTTCTCCCCCCCAGAAGTGAGATTAGCTCCATCCCTCTCAACATTCCGCAAGTCCCTCAAGACCTGGCCATATGATCAGTCCTGGGGGTCCCAGGGGACCGGGGAGATTTTGTGATGGTTCCCTTATTAATGTTATCCCCTCCTGTTTTGTTTCCTTTTATGGTTTTTTATTTGTAATTGTTTTTATGCATTTATTCTTTTTAATTGTTGTATGCCATCCAGAGTCACTTTGTGTGAGATGGGTGGCTTTATAAATAATTTTTTTAAAAAATAAATAAATAAATAAATAAATGTAGTCATTATAACAGGTATAAGAAAAAAAATTCCCACAAATTCTCAGAAATGATAGCACCTGCGCCGTGATCTGGGATAGGAAAATTATGTTTCAGTAATAAAGGTATGGGAGCAAAGAATGATTCACTTTGAAGGAATGGCAGAATAGACCTGTAAGTCCAGGGGCATTTGTAGTAGGAGGAAAATTATACTGTGACTCTTCGTTGCAGGTGTATCAGAGATGGAAGTCAGGAATTCTCAGCACTGCACCACTGCAATTTCTGGGAATTCTAAATTTGCAACATCTTGAGGATCCTAATATTGATAGAATAATAGGTGCAACCATATTTTTTACTAATATATTTTCTGAAGTTTCACTTCTATGTAGATGTACATAAGATTTCAACCCACTGTTCAATGCCAGGAAAGAAATCTCCATGCAGAAATAAATCTGCAATAAATATGGACTCAGGGATTAAATGAATAATATTTTCTTGGGGGAAGGGGAGAGATTCTACATTTTGAATAGTTCTGTAAATTTTGTAAGCCTTTGTCTCTTATATCTTCATCTTAATAAAGGACTGTATTTTAACTGAGGTACACTTTCTCTCTCCCTTTGGGGAATTCACTTTAGTTTTGAAGGAGTAACTTAAATGAGGAAAGCAATTTTCTGGAGGGAGGGAAGTTCAAGCCTTCTCCCTTCAGAGCTGCTACTTCATAAAGTAGGATTTGCCCTTTTAAATGGAAGAATAATCTAGGTGTAAAATACAGATACTGGGTGGAGGTTGGCAGGGGGAGAGTCCAGTTACAGATTTTCGAGGTTACTTTTTCTTAAAGAAAACACTAGGATAGCTGAAGCTTGATAAAAATGCAAGGGTTGGATAGAACAATAGGTTGAAAGGTTATTAAAGCACCCATAACACTTGGTAAACATTGTGTAATGTAATCTATTAAATGCTAGAGTCTAATTTCAGAACATACCTCTACAAGTATTTATTTTAGATCTCTGGGGAGAGTTATCTACCCCTTTCCTAGTAGCATGCAGGGAGAGAAAGAAAAAAAAAGCTGTTTTCTCCAAAGATTGAATTTAGCCCACAGCAGGGGGAAAAAGGGTTTCCTGCTCCTGGATTAATGCTTGAAATAAGTTATACATAAAAACTAAATGTTCAGAGTCTGATTTACAGACATCACTAGTGTTATCAAGTTAGGTGCACACACAATATTTTCTCAAGAAACAGATCTGCTCAACTGAAACACCACTGGTGAAATCAAATTAAATCCTCACCTTTTGTAACATTACCTATTTTGTGGTTAAAAGAATTCATAGAAAAAAACTATTTCCCATTTGTGAGTTTTGAGAGAAGCTAATTTTGATGTAGAAGATATTTGAAATAATAATTGCACTTAATTATCCATAGGTCTACAACAATTCAAGACAGAAATAATTCAGTAAGTGTTGCTATTCAGCTTCCATTCATTTGGAGATTGACATTAGATGTGATTATTGCTATCCCTTTGAATATGGGTTGCTATGTTACTGATATACTGTAAAAACAAAAAGTTGTGCTTATGATATCTGCTAATTCCCAGCACCACCACCACCACCACTATCATGCATACAAACATATGCATTTTCCAACTGAAGCTGAAGCCCTATAGAATTTAAGGAGCCATATTGCCTTATTTACCCATATCTGTATATTATTTTGCCCTTCTGAAAAGAGAAATCCAACGTACAGTCCGAGAATTTCTAGGTAAAGTATTGTACCATCATTGATGTTGGTCAACACTGATTGTCTTGTGTGCAAGAAGAAAGATTGCACATTCCTTAAATGATTGATTCCCAGCATGAAAAACTAAAGTGAACCACTTTTCTGTTTTAATTTTTTGCTGGTTCCAAAGAAGTATTTATACTCCAGCCTTGCCTTACCCTGGTGTCCTGTGGATGGATTAGATTTCAACTCATATAATTCCTTGTCAGCAAAGGCTGGCTAGGAATTATTAGAAGCACCAAATGGAGGAAAAATGAAACCTTTTTCTTTCCCAAGGGAGTAAATGCAAGCTGCCACTACAGGATCTTCTGCATTTCTGAGTGGAATTATGCAACTGGTACTTTGCATGACTCTCCATAATCCCATTGGTTTGAAGTGACTTTCCCCAGCTTTTCACTAGAATTTTGCCCAGTTCATGCATGAGTCAATGTTATGTTTGTCCCTGCCGCTGTAGGGGTATTTACTGATGGTGTAAGAGTAAAATTGTATTTTTAAAAGATCACTCCATCAGCTTAAGCAGTTGATGTACTCATGCTCATGAAGATATTCATGCAGGAATGAATATTGCTTAAACATTAGTATTGATGAAATAATAGGTGTTTTCACAACTATATAAATGTTGACAGTGATGGGGTTGAAGAGTCTACACTGTCATGAAAATTTCATCTCTGTCTCATTTCTTCTGTCCCAAATAGGCACAATACTTACATTGACAATATGCTATACAATTATATTGGTTTTACTCAGAAATCTCTTCTTCTTTTCTATGTCTCAGCCTGTAGATCTGCTCTGCGCTACTTAAATGATCTTCAGTATACATATTGAAAGCATAACTGCCAATGAATTGCATCAAATCCCATACAGGGAGCAACTCTTGAACAGGTAAGGACTGACCAGGATAGGCAGTCTAAAACGAGTGCAGTAAACATGGTAAGCAAGGTGTTATAGGTCACAAACATGCATGTATTTCTATTGTTAAATAAGCTTTTTAAAGTATTTTAATATCTTGAGTTTTCTAATACTGTGTAATTTCTGATAAAGCTTATTTTCCAACCAGAAAAATAGAATAACAATAAGGCTATGAAGTTCTATTTTAGGTTCTGATTTTATTTGTTGTGTATGCGTGTCTTGTATAGCTGCACTTAGGACAGATAGGCTGGATCTACAGTGTGCTTTTCAGGTTGAGCAAGTGAAGTATGTAGAGCTCTTCATATTTACTTTTATTTATTGCCTTCTGCTGTAAGGCTATTTGTAGTAGCTTTCCAGTTCCCTAAGATAGCATAAAATGTGCAGACTGCAACTTTATCCACTCCAGAATCCTGTCCAGTCCAGTGGTGCATGGACTTGGTCAGTCTATTTCTGGTTGGTTCCATGCGTATAGAGTTGCATACCTACTGACTGTCATGAATTTTCAGAGATCACCATGTTTTTCATGTGGTCCTGCAGCAAAAAGTTACACCAGAACAATCTTGGGCCGCAAACATCTGAAAGTTAGAAATTTCTATGAGTAGCTTCATGCCATTCTTCCCAGTCTCCTCTTGATTTGATTATTAGTTGTTGTTTTTCCTCTGCAGCTGGTTCTTTTTAGCATTCTCCTTTGATGTCTGTTTCATCAGTGGAAAGGTTGGTCTTCCTCATGTAAACATATTTTAACAGTCAGTTAAGGGCAAACTCATTTGATAATGTAAAAATGGTCAATTAACAACATTAGCCATATGTCTCCTATTTGCAATTTAGGGTTGGTGACATCTTAGGAGTTTATTGTTTGCTTAAGCAGTGGAAAGAGTAGAGAAGAGAAAGCTGTGAGTGAGTCTAACTAACTTTAGTAAATTTATGATGCATGCAATTTGAAGAACAAATTTAAAAATATTTTTTTCCGATGCTTTGTATATATATTCTGGGTAAGCAAGTGGGGAGAAGTATTTGCAACTGGTATCCTTGCTTACTTCTGAATAAGCATACAGGAAAATCAGTATTTGGATATGTGGCTTGGTTTGATCTATGTAAAGGCTGTCCCTTTGGTCTTGAGAGTCAGAACATATCCTGAGAAGAAGAAGAAGAAGACGAAGACGAAGACGAAGAAGAAGAAGAAGAAGAAGAAGAAGAAGAAGAAGAAGAAGAAGAAGAAGAAGAAGAAGAAGAAGAAGAAGAGTATGCAAAGCACATAGAAATGATTATATACTTGTTTCTGGTTTATTGGTAGATGGTTATTTGGTATTTGGTGTGTCCCATCCAGTTTCTACATCAGTATGCACAAACATCAGTTTTCTTTAATGTGTGCATTTTTAAATGGCAACTTTCTGTAGCTTATTTATTTTTATATATGATCACATTCCTAAGACCTTTTACAGAAAAAATGGAAAAGTGTACACTTTGATTACTACATCACATATAAAGTCAGAAAGAAGGTCCATTTGTAAAATGTCAGTATGGTAAAATCTGAGGACCAGAATCTACTCAGAAAAGAAGCATATTTCTATTAGCTACTTTAAAAAGACCTCAGATGGAAATCCAAGGAAAGAAACAATGAAGTTGGAATGGCAGCAACTCAGATTTCTTTCAGGAGTCATAATTTTCTTTGCAAATGAGGGACAGTCTCTTTTAATTGCCTGGCTCAGTGATTCATGTTCTTATGTATTCTGTGCAATATGACATCAAGGCACAAAACTCTAAAGTATGTAGTTATGTTATTATTATGTCAGTTCTCTTCACTGGGTCTAACATTCATAAGTTGGGTGAATCGTGCCTAGACTGTATAGTTTCAGACTGTGATTTTATTCACGTAAACTAAACCATAATGTAGCTTGTTTGGTTTTGGCTTAGTGAGCTGTGTAAACTCAGCCATTGTCATTGATAAACCATAGTTTATAGTCTAACTTGTTCTTCTGTTACCGTGAACATCAAGGTTACTTTATAGCTGCAACAAGGAACTTCACTTGCAAATCAAGAGTGGGCAACTACTATGCTGCTGCCGTAAGGTACCTTGCACATTTGAGGACAAAGAGATTTTGGGGTAACCTCAAATGGAACCATTAGAACAAACAACAGCTGTGTTGTGACTTAACTTTTGATATTAAAAAGTTCTGAAATAAACAAATGCTTGTTACAAGTGATGATGTTTTGGTCCATCCTTTTCCCAAAATGCTACCCTCCTGATAAGAAAAACTTTGATTTCCATAATTCCTTGCCAATATGCTAACACATCTTGAGGACACCAAGTTAGGATAGCTGTTTTCACTCTATTCAGTCTTTGTGCTTACATGTTAAGTTTACACCTGAGAAGAGGAATGGAGATCAGCATACTAATCTGTCTCTCCTTTATCATTTGTGGATAAATAGAGTACCTTCTTTACAATTAATAATGGCTTCCAATTAATTGGCAGTTATGATTAAGAAGATTCCTATGGAACTGAGGGACATCTGGCAAAAGTTCATGTTGTAAACAAGAGATTCATGTTTGCCTGAAGTACATTGTGTTGACTCATAGCCAGAGCAGTTTAGTAATTGTACTGTGACTATGTAAGTTCCAACTGTAGTTTTTAAACTGGATGATGTCATGTTTATTTCCTGTCCTGCACATGTGCCTAGAGATGGTTGGTGGGATTTTTAAGTTACCTGACACTGGAGTTGCTTTTCCTTGGCACAGGAAGTATTTCATTGCATTAAATCATGAGAATTATTAATGATTCACTACAAGAGGTGTTATATATTAGTAATGACTCCTCAGATTGTGGGTTTTCCAAAAATGAGTAGGTGTATTGGCATAATAATGGATAAAGTATATGGATTGGATAATGGCTGGTTTAAAACTCTTATCACACTGACCTCAGTTGGTGGTGCGTTTCATATTGGATAAATTGGCACACTTTTTAATTCACTAGTCAAATATTCTAAGTTGATCAGTTGGATGACTACCAGTTATTTAACTATGGTTAAATATTATTGCATATTGAAAGAAATCAAAGTGATCACTTTTCTTTGTGTTGTAGTACCTTTTTATTAACAAGAATAGAGTAAGGGTCATTTGGCTCAGAAAACAGAGTAAAACTTCTGTTAGCCTGACTCTAATAGTAGCTGCTGGATTCTGTATCCAAGGAGGACCCCCCCCCCCCTTGTACACTGGCTTTGTTGTTTGAAATTCCATGAAAAATGGAACTTCTTCAGTTATGGAGAGTTTAGACAACAAAATCTTGAGTGCTCTGGTAAGGAAGAGTATCTCAGTTTACAAGGAGTCCAGTGGTCCATAAGATGCTATCCTAAATTCTATGAGATTATAGCCTAAAAAAAGTATTGTTATTTTTTAACATTGGACATCAAATGCCCACTCCAGGTTTTATCTTTAGCTTTAGAATATGGACCTGTCTTATACAGTTGTTGTAAAAACTGATAAAATGATGTATGTAGAGAACTCTTTGAAGTATTAGCTAAATTCTAAGTGTTAAATTAAGTAACATTTGTCTTTTTAATTTTCAAGAGGACTGCATCTACCTCTAGCCAATTGTGATTACTCCATTCTGTGCTTGCTTACACAGGTTAGTATACAATTTTGACTAACGTTCAGTGATTTACTTATATTAGACCACATTTTCCATAATCATCAACAAGGCCAGTGGCCACACCTGGAAGTTACTAGGGTTGGGAGTGGCTGCAATAAGAATTAAACATATATGTGCAAGTATGGAGAATTGAATCATATAAATAGTTGTTGTTTTCAAATCACAGAATCTGGGATTATGAATAAAGGTTTCCAGGTTCCATGTCTAATTTTATTCCTTTTCATAAGGTCTCAGCACTATCCTGTACACTGTACAATTTAAGCCAGTTTTTACAAAATACAAAGACATTTAGTAATATTATTGCCTGATTCAATTTTAAATGACAATAAAATGGATAAGTTGTATGTAAGATGGGCAATACTAACATAACAGATTTATCCAAAGGCAAGATGACCCCAACCCCCAAAGGAAGCTTAGAGAAAAAAGCTCATCTGCCTCCCATATGCTCAGTGAATCTAGGAATATCTTTCCATTTTAAAAGTAAATTATTTGGAATAAACACTAGTCTTCTTTTCAAATAAATTCAGTATTAATGCTCTTCAGGGACAACAATTTTAAAGTCTCTCTTGTAGCTGTATCAAACAGATTTAAGTAAACCCTTTTTTAAAATTTTGTTTGGCAGGTTCTATAAGTGATCCAAAATGCCTTTCAGTGATGAGCAAAGCAGTGACTGTGATTCTTCAAGATCCTCGGAAAGTGCAATTTCTTCGTCTAGTGAGTCTGAATACTCAAGGCAGAGTTTTACCAGTGATTCTTCAAGCAAGCCCAGTTCCCCAGCCTGTAAGCAAAAAGCACATACTGGGATGTGTTCCTTTGAATTGCCAAAAGGGTCTGTGATACTTAACTTTAAACTGGGTATGCAGATCCTCCTCCATTTTGAGGGGGACATTGGTGGACTATTGTCTTCTGGCCTAATTTGGGCCCTGGTAGGATTTTTGTTCAAGGAGGTCAATGCAGTGTCTCTGACACTTCTAGATTGGGTCCTCAAAACACCCAAATAAAATATTTCCCCAAATTGTGCAAAATTTCAGTGTTTTCCTATAGGAGTTGAGACTATCAGCATTTCAGAAGATTTCAGCTATCTTGCATGAAATCATACAAAGTCTTGTGGGTAGAAGAGACTGCCAGAATGTCATAATTTGTGCCATTGCGCAGCGGCATCTGAGATTATTGTTAACCTCTGGCCAAGATGGTCTGGATTCTAGCAGTTGCCCATGTGTTGATGCTGGGCATTAGTAAAGTGATCATAAAGAACTTCCCTGAAGAGCATGATTATCATTTATGAATTTAGCATGATTATCGTAAATTAATTATCATGATTAATTTATGATTATCATTAAAATGTCTTACCCTACCCATCTGCAGAGAAATGCCAACCATATCCTTGAATACATTTTGAAATTTTGCAGAAAAAGTATAAAATAGCAAAATTGTCCTCTACCTGAACTGAGTTGTCCTCTACCTGAACTGAGTGATCACCTTAGAACATGTCCAGAATATTCTGTAACATATAAGTGTACTGTAAATGCAGTTCAATGCAAAAACATTTCACTAAGATAATACTTATGCTTGAAAAACTCTACTTTAGATAGAACATGTATTTTCTCATTTTAATTCACCTCTGCTTAGCGTTTATTCATTTATTTTATTAATACATTTCTGTATTGGATTCCTATAATAAAATATCTTGCAATGGAATATGTGGGGGGAAATAATAAGTAAATTGTTATAAAAATAGAAGCAAATAGCATGTCAATAGATTGAAAACATTCAGTATCAAACAGATAGATTTACATATTTTAAAGGGATTGCATTAATTGGCTCCCATGGGCAAGCAATTTCAGATGTCCAGAGATCAGAGTTGGCCATTCCATTAGACAGAATGAGGCAACTCTGGATAAAGCTCTGTGTGCAGTGAAAAGCATCTTGGACCTCTGATGTTAATCTGCCTCCTTCAAGTAAAGTTATCATTCCTGTCTTATTTTTGCTGTTAAAATAAAACACAAATGCCAGTTTGATTAGTTTTTGTATAGAGGGTCAAGTAGAAAGGAGGAAGTCTCTGGGGCAGCACTCATTAACCAGGGCTTGCTGAATAAGGAACAGTTGGCTGATTTCATACATAAATCATGGTTTGAGCCACAGTAGGATGTTGATTGAACCCGCAGGCCAGAACAAAGTGCAATATGACTTAGTATGGTATGCGAACCCAGCTGCAGGATGGTGGGGAGACACAGTTAATGTGTCCTGAACTTTCTAAGCTAGTCTGTTGCCTCAGGAATAGACACTGCCATCCTGTTATAGGAACAGTGACAGGGGAACAGGGGCAGGGGCCATTTTTGAATCAGATAGATTTACATATTTTAAAGGGATTGCATTAATTGGCTCCCATGGGCAAGCAATTTCAGATAGCAAAATCTTCTCAGTAAATCCTGCATGGGAGCTGGCAAAAAAGTACATATTTTGTGAAAATTCTTAGTACTTAGACAAATTACTTAGACAAATTCTAAGTAAACCTCTTTTTTTAACCCTAAACGAACCTACTCAGAAATGTAAAGTATTTATCTGTTTTCACATCAAGTCAACGTGTCATGCATTTTATTTCTTGATTCCAGCAACAAGCCCTCCCAAAATGGTTACGTTTGATGAAATGATGGCAGCGGCAAGGAATTTGTCAAACCTGACTCTCGCTCATGAAATTGCTGTAAATGAGAATTTTCATTTGGAACGCATAGAGCACCCACAGAACAGGTAGGCTTGGGTTTTAGAAATGATGGGGGAAAGCCACTTTCGAAACAAATCAACAAGCATTCACAGATGGTTTCGGGGTCTTTTCAAATGTTCATCTTTTGGTGCAGAATGTGTACTCAACTAGTTAAGCGAGTGTGTTTTCAGTTTAAGCTTGTGATTCGTTCTAACAAGCCCGTTAAACTTACACATTGCTATTCAAAGGAGAACCTTGAGTGTACAGAGTTAATTCCTGTTAATACTGGCTAAGGTTATACATCTCACAAAGCTTTAATCATGGGTTCTGTAATAACTGTAATGGCCCATTTCACAAACAAATTTAGCCATGAACCTTGGTTTATAAATTACCATGGCTAGGATCTTTCTATTAATGAAATGATAAGTACTTTCCTCCAAGCAGGAACTTGATTTGAGTTATGTAACAGTTTTAACACTTTGCTTTCTTTGAATGCCTGTGCTGCCCTCTCTTCCCACCTCACTCCTGACAGCTTGCCTGGAAGGGTTAAACAAATTGTACATAAAGCATTCTGGGATCGCTTGGAAGAAGATTTGAATGAAGACCCTCCTGAGTATGAGCACGCAATCAAACTGTTTGAGGAAATTAAAGAGGTGAGTTTTTGCTCCTGCTCTCTCAAGCTAAGTTTGTTTCTGTCTTGTTGGTAGTGGCCACAGAGCAGGTTCGTTACAACGGGGTTCTGTAAATCCAAGTTGTAGATGTGAAGTGTGCAGCCTCTCAAGCTGTCCATAGCCTGACTACCCTTCAGACGCCTTGGCCACGATGACTGGGGGAGTGGAGAAGTTGAGGCTGAGCAGCTCTTGCCATCTATTTCCCTGGACTCTGATGTAGCATTGTTACATTCCAGATGGACGCAATAACTGCTCACCTTCTCCTGTCAGTGCTGAAAGCCAGTTAAAAAGTGGGGTGTGCGTGCGCATGGCAGGCTCTGCCTAAAACATTAGTATTTGCATGCAGAGTACTTAAACTGGACCTGAATGGGATACTGCTAATATGATTACAACTTTATTATAACATTACTGTTTTGTAGTTGTTAGGGATTTTTGGTGGGGGGAGGGTGCGCCTTTGAGTCATTTTTGATTCCTGGTGTCTGCCTAGACTAGCCCCTGCAGTTTTCCTGGCAAGGTTTCTGGGAAGTGGTTTGTCATTGCCTCCTTCCTAGGGCTGACAGAGAATGAAAGAGAGAGAGCCCAAGGTCTTCCAGTTTCTAGCCTGATGTCTTAACCACTACACCAAACTGGCTCCTCTAGTTGTTAGTAGTACTGAGATATATTAATTTTTCAGTATATTTTGCTCTTCGGAAAATTCAAAATTGCCTCCATGGTTTTCCCTGACTTTTTTGCCCCATGAGATAGATTAGGTTGAAAAAAAGCAAACTGAACCAAAATCACTTTGTTAGCTTTGTGGCCACTTAGTTTCTCCAACAAGACTCTCATGTGAGATAATCTAGATGTAAATCAGCATGTACCTGTTTTGCATCTAGGTATGGCATTTAAAGTACTTGAATTAAAAAGTTTATGAAGAGTGACCTCAGGTAGCAAGATGGGCAGGATTCATAATAGTTCTTGAAGAGGCAATTTTGGCATGTGCAATGTAAAGCCATAGTTGCTGAAATTCCTCCTAACTTATAACATTGATGGGTTCTCTCTGTGGTGTCTTTGACCATATGAAACACACATTGCTATTATGGGCCATTAACTACAGTTTAGTTGCCTTGTGGTTTTAATCTTGCAGATCCTTCTCTCTTTTTTAAACCCGGGGGCTAACAGGATGCGCAACCAAATTTGTGAAGTCCTCGACACAGACCTCATAAGGCAGCAGGCTGAGCACAATGCAGTTGATATCCAGGGTCTTGCAAACTATGTCATCAGCACCATGGGGAAGCTGTGTGCTCCTGTAAGGGATAATGATATCAACCAGTTAAAAGCCACTGGGAATATTGTAGCATTGTTGAGGTTGGTATGTGATTTGCTTTTTAACACTAAGTGGTGGTTAAACAAATGATCTGAATCAGTCTTCCCCAAACATGGCTTCCTCCAGGTGTCCTACATCATTTAGAATTCCCAGCTAGCATGGCTGTTGGAGTCCTCCCATCCCATCCTTTGTCTTTTATTGTTAAGGATAGTCAGACGTTAGTAATACCTACCACTGACTAAAGCATTGTTGACTGAGGAATTCTGGGAGTTGAAGTTCACTTATCTTAAAGTTGCTGAGGTTGAGAAACATTGGACTAAAACATTCCATGTACAATTGGCATCTTGAGTCTGATTTTAAACTGTAAATCTTTGGCCTTTTTTTTTTTTAGTTTTCTGCTTTTTCCCCATCTCCCACTTTTTGTAAAAGCAAGCATGCACCTCCATGCCACTTTGTCCCTCATAAAAGGAGCACCCTATCATATTTTCTTATGGTTCAACACAGCTTTCACTGTTGTTTTTTATTAATCCCAATGGATATATATTTATTCCAGCTTGGAGGCAATATGCTTTTTAATGCCAGTTGCTTAAAAGCACAAGGAGGGACTCTTGCACTACCCATTTTCCATAGACATTTGGTTAAGCCATTGTAGGAGTACGATAGATAGGACTACAATTTGATTTGGGTTATCATTTCTTGTGATCTTCGTGTTTGCAGTAGCTATAGGTTATATAAAGACATAACTACAGAAAGGTTGCAAAACAGCTCAAATTCTGCCCAGTAACTTTACAGTGTCATGCCTTATCTTTGAAGCACGGAGGCTGATGTAGTTTCTTGTGAAAAGTAAATTCTTGGGAAATTTATCATAAGGGTGTGCATCATGTTCACATTGTGAGAAAGGACGACTGATTAACAGAATGTAAATACAAGGTTTGAACATACAGCAAATTTGTCATTTCCTTATTCTTTCAGGCAAATATTCCATGTTCTGGACCTCATGACAATGGATATGGTTAATTTTACCATTCAGAGTCTTAGACCTCACCTTCAGCGCAACTTGGTAGATTATGAAAGAGCAAAATTCCAAGATATACTTGAAGAAACTCCAAGTAGGTTTTTTGTTTACATAAAAGGGAATAGTCAATGAAGTGGCAACAAAGGCAATTATATGAGATCTGAAGCAGTTGAGCAAAAAGCTGCAACAGGTTTCGGGTGTGGGGGAGTCTCCTTCTAAATCTTTTTGAGGATGTACTGTCAGTAAAACAACCTTGAGTTGCAAAAGTGCTTTGGCTGACATGTTTTACTGTCTGGAATGCTTACTCAGCTTTTAAAAAGACCCCTCAGATCTCTGCTTGATCTGCATACATCCTGTCCGATCAAAGCTATTAATGAAGGGGATTGTATTTTGAATGCAGGTTATGTTGACTGTAAGGAATGCTGTGCCCCATCATATTATTTTCCTGTGTCCCAGTGTATCATTAGGGGTGCCTGATGCTGCTTTTCTTCACCTTCTTTTGCATATAAAGCCTTCGTTAAAAGCATAGGAAGACAGAACACACATATGTTCTTAAGAAGCAATGGGAGACGCACAGACTCCATTTAAGAAGATTGATTATGAACTGGTTCATGTATCATGCTATGTCATGGTTTGTTATAGCTTATTAATTAAAGTATAATTGGCTGGATTGCATCATATTCATCACTATTATAGCACAAATGAAATTTTAGTTTGTAAATCCAGAAAGCAATCATTCTTCCATGACCTTTGTTTAGAAAATAACTGCTTGGATAGATGACTAGTGAATTAGGTAAGTAAATTTCAAATGTATCGTAAAAGGTTCTTGATTTGCTTAAGAGTGCAAATAAAGCAGGAGGCTTTGTCAGAAGTTTCTCAAGGGCACAATCTCTGTCCTTGCTTACAAGATTTTTTTTAAAAAATCTCCTTTTGTATATAAGATTGGCTTATAATGGCTGAAACTGTGTGTGTGTGTGTGTGTGTACATACACACACACACACACATACATGTTATTTTTGGCAGTTGCATATGAAAAGAGAGAAGAGAGACCTGATCCTCCTTCCAGACAAGGATCCTGCCTTCCCACACTATACTGCACTGTGATTATGTCATGTTTATGAGCAGAATTTGAGCTGGCAATGTATGCAACTTGAAATGGCCAGTTTCTTCTTCTACCATGGATGTTTCTACATTGTGTGCTCATGCGTGCTTATAATGTCTCTTTGTCATGTTGTAGGCTTAGTCAGTTTTTAAAAACTTTCTCTACTTTTCAACATTCACTTCTTTTATTTCCTTTTGGTGATTAGGTCCTTGAGTTATCCCCCTCCATAGCTTATTTATTCAACTGGGTACATGTCTTTGTAAAACAATCAGTACAGATCTGGTCTCTCTTATTACAAGAGTCACTTTATGTGAGATGGGAGACTATATAAATATGATTGAGTGATCAATCAATCAATCAATCAATCTCGCTTGTCTCAAAATGTTCAGATGCCCTGGACCTGACAACTGAATGGATAAGGGAATCAATACAAGATGAATTATCTTCCATTTCCTGTGAAATGTCGTCATCTCCTGGTGCTAATGGGATCTCTAAACCAAACCTGAGTCCTACTGTGGTGTTAACAAACAGCTACCTGAAACTGTTACAGTGGGATTACCAGAAACAAAAAATTCCAGAGGTAATTTGCTTCCTATCTCAGAATTTCTAAAACTTTTGTTCTACTTTTTCCTCTAGCAAACATAGTCGATAGCAATTTATATCTGGAGGTTGAGTCATGGCTTAACATTGATTTAACACAATAGAGTAATCAAAAAACAAACAAGTCATGTTATAGGTTAGCATGTTGTATGAATCTAGGCCAGTAGACTAGTTATTACCATCCATAGTGTCACAGGTAGGATTTTTTGAGAAGCAAACTTGCAACTACCTCATTCAAGCCCATTGGGGTTGACTCCCTTTTATCATGAGGTTTGATATCTTGAAAGCTACACATTTCATTGCATTATAACTTTATGCCTTGTATTTGATGTGATTAGTTACTAATGGAGCCCCTAACTCTGTGGTAAGCTACTTACTTTCTCTTGTAGAAATTAATGGGAACATCTAACTCTGCGGAACAGGCTGCATCTGATGTGATGACAGTCATAATTTCAATAGTTTTAGGAGACTGGACAAAGTCATGGCAGTTCAGGATATCTATAACTGCTAGCCTTAATGGCTGTTTAGTACCTCCCAGCTCTCAAAATTGTTCTATCTTAAATAGCAATTACTGGGGAGCAACAGCAGAAGAGAAGGAGTACCCTCTTATCCACACCTGAAAGCTTCCTGAATGAATCTGATTGGTTAATGTGTGCCATAGAAAGCTATTATAGATGAACCTTCGGCTTTAACCACTACTTATGTAGGTTCTGTTTGCTGTTAGAGATTTAAGAAAACAGCATTTAATTTAAATTTAAATATTTATACAGAAAGGGAATGTGGACATTTTGCATTTATATTACCAGCACTTTTGAATATAATGAAAATCTTGGTGGTAGTTACATTTCTCAGGAGACTTTTTTATTCTGAACCTGATGAAAAAGTTGAAGCTCTCCTAAAGACATATTTTGATGTTAAATATGGTCAGATGTTTGATGATTGCTCATAAATGTTACACTGCATCAATTGTTTCAGACACTAATGACAGATGAAGCTCGCCTTCAAGAGTTATCCAAGAAATTGAATCAGATGAAGACTGTAGCGTGTATTTCTCTCATAACAAGCAACATGGTACCTGCAGTTATTGAGGGTATTCCAGACTTTGTTGAGAAACAAAAAAGGATTTCTTTTGTTTTGCTTGAAGGAATGCATAAGGAGTAAGTAAATTCACCTGAATTACTGAATAATAATAATTTTTAAAAAGTCAAAAGCATTATGTGACAGCATTTTGTATTCTAACTTTTTTTCTTTTTAATCTCCTCCCACCTCTCTTTCAGGACTTTTGATTTAAAAGAAGCTCTCAACACAATAGGTATTCAGACATGTAGTGCAATGAATGAATCACTCACAGAGAGAGGCTTTCAACCATTAAATAAGGAGGTTCAAGCAAATTTGGTGGGTCAGCTCTGCAACATTGTTGAGGAAGACAATGCTGTCATCACCTTAATTGGTTAGTGATAAATTACTTAACTGACAGATTTTTTAATATGAAATGTATGCTTAAATATAGCTGTGACTCCTTCTGAGCATTTTCTTACAGACTTTATGAATTTATCTTTTGTTTTTTTAAGCCTCTGCTTGTTCCCATTGTGAAGATTGGGCCTATCTACTTCTTAGCCTTAATAGTACATTGTTGATTTTAGATTATTAGTTGCATGAAGAAATCTAGAAATCCTAGCTTAACTAAATGATTACCCTAGTTTTAGCCAGATTGTTGTTTGAAAGGAGCACAAGTTCAGGAGGGCAGCTGGCTCGGTCTCTCCTATTCAAAACCTGCATAGACCCTCTCACCAGCTTATAATAGTTTGTACAGAAGGCTCTTTCCATGCAATTGACTGTAGATACACCACAGTTGACTGGGTTCATTGCTCATGTTTTATCAATCACAGTGCTGAAGTTCGCTAAACAAATTACTCTAAACCAAGCAAACAACGTTATGACTTGTCATGATATGTGAATCTTGGCAGAGATAGCTGTAACTGGAGACATGGAGATTTTGCTAGACATTCAGAGCAGGCATTGGGAACCTATGGCTCTTAAAGTATTACTGAACTATAACTCTCAGTATTGTCCCCAGTGAACATGTTGGCTGGAGGTACAGGAAGTTCATTTCTGGAAGAATGTAATGGCAAATTACTTTCATGTTTTTAATGAGAAAATTATTTGGATGTCAATGTAATGTCGAAGAGATCAACAGATTTTACCTCTAGAATTGCAAATCCCAGTGCAGTAAGTGTATCTGCATATAAATGCCAGGCTTAAAATCTCTTTTACATGAACATTTTTGAAGGCTTCTTTACAAATAGAGATCAAATTGGAATCTAAAGTTTTAGAGAAAGTTGCAAACCAGTTGTGATCTGTTCAAATCAAAGTCATCCTAAAGCAACTGTAATCCCCTTCTCTCTTTCACATGGAGAGGCAGTGCTGGTAGGCATGAACGTTTAAGCCAGGGAAATGTGTGCCAGTTGCATCCTTACCTGATGCAGGAAGACTTAGCAACAGTAACTCATGCTCTTATCACCACCCGTATAGACTGCTGCAGGGTGCTTTACATGGGGTTACCCAGAAATTACAATTAGTCCAGAAAGTGGCACCCTGTGTCTTAATTGGTTTCCAGTGTTGGGTGCATATTACACCTGTGTTGCAGCCCCTGCACTGGTTACCACTTCAATTCTGTGTGCAATTTAATGTGCTGGGGTTTACCGATAACAGCCTTCAAGGCTTGGCACCTGGGTACCCACAGGACCACCTCCTCCAACCAGATTTGGCCCTTCCTGTGAGATCACATAGGGGTTCTTGTCCCACATTTCTGGAACGTCCAGGGAGTCGAAGCTAGAAGGAAGGCACTTTTATTTGTAACAGCACCAACACTGTGAGATCAGACTGGCCCCCTCCCTGATAGCTTTTAGGAAGTTATTAAAAATTGAATTTTCGAAGAATGTTTTAGTAACATCATCTGCACCTCTTGTTCTTTCCCCCCCCCTGCTTTGGGTTTTGTTTTTTGCAATTTTGATGGCATGTTTTAATTCTGTTGTTTTTACTGTGACATTGTAACCATCGAGGCTCACAAGGTTGCAGCGAGCTAAAATAATGGATGTTTTGAATGAATGAATGAATGAATGAATGAATGAATGAATGAGTAGGTGGACATGTCTGCATTGTAGACTTCCCTGAAGGAGAGAACCTTAATTGCGTAGATTTCCATTGCATTTTGCGGTCTACATGCCAAATCTTTTGTGGATTAGATGTGAACAGCTAATGCATGGGTATCCATCAGGGTGCCATTTGTATAGCCATACTGCCTTTTTTGATGTGTGGATGCATTGCAGTTAATCAACCTGTCAGCTGATCAGTTTTCATTCATAGTGAGAAGTTAATGCTGTCCTGAGTAATGCCAGGAAGTCTAATTGTGTGTTTTTTCCTTTACAGATAAACGAATTCATTTGTACATGAAAAGCTTGCTTGCTTCTCCTTGCTTTCAAAAATCTATGCCTACAGTTCCTGGAGGTCTTGGAGTGATTCAGAAAGAGATAGAGACTATTGGATCACAGTATGCCAGCATTGTTAACCTTAATAAACAGGTTTATGGACCATTCTATGCAAGTATCTTTCGAAAACTGCTGTTCAGTGAGACAGAAACAAACAAAGCAGAACTTGCGTCTTCTACCAACTGAAATACGTAGAGCTTCTTTTCCATCCTTTTCACAGTATTTATACTGTGACTTGCATTCTTTTTTTGAATATGCACAGCTTGCAGTGATGACTGTTAATGGGAGACAGAGAGAAATGTGTCGATATTATACAGATTATATTCAAATAAATAAAAGTTCCCCCCAAATTAAAGCAGTTACTAAATTTTGAAAAAAGTAACTTTTGAAAAGATGAATTCTGTTTGTAACAATGACACATTGCACTTACTCACTGTAAATGTTTTTTCCTACACGAGTATTTCAGATGTGTATGATAAATGCCCACAGTAATATAAATCTTTTAAATGTTTAATATGCTTTTGCTAATGACTATGGTGCAATAATATAAAAATGTAAATTCAGATTTAATCTGAATTAAATGTTAGGGCATTGGCCCTCTGTCTTTACCCTAAATGGATTGCTCAAGAAAGGTGGGTCCCCCCCTCCCCGCTGCCCAGTTTCTCTTTTCTCACAAGCAAGATGGTGGAAAAGAGCACATGTCCAATTTATCCCAGGCTGTTTCCTGTTTTTAGCCCTTACTGCATGTAGTCTTCATAATAGTCCAGTGCCAGTTGCTTAGAATTTAGTACCCTTGGATTTCACCTGGAGGAGTAGTTCCTTTTTTTAAAAGGGAAGTCATATTTTAACTCAGTTGCTTAACAATGTGCCAAATTATATACAAGCTATATTTTTATCTTCTCAAATTTATTGAAGGGCTAAAATACATTGAGCATATAATCCTCACTTTACTACCAGAATGAATCAGAATTTGAAAATAGAAAGCTTCTTCTTTAAGAAGACAAATATATCGTATTAAGCAGCAAATACTGAAGTTATTAAGTGGAACAACTTTTGCAGATTTATGTCACTAAATAATCCCAGTTTATATTTTATTTGCTTTTTTATTAAAATAATTTGTCATAACTTTGAGCATAACATGCAGCCCTCTTACCATATGACTGATGCCTCTGAAGTGACTGTCATAAAGACTTTCAAGAAGGACCTTAATGTTTAAAAGAACTGTAGATACATAGGTAAATCTGTTTTTGTTCTCATAGAACTATGTACATCAGCCTTCATCAACCTGGTGATGGAAGATGCAAAGAATTCTGAGAGTTGGGATCCGTACAACATCAAGGAGATGTCAGATTGGGGAAGGCTGATATGAATTCATTTTGTAAAAAATCTCTTGAATATATATTGCTTGGCTATTTTAGGAGAGAGCAGTTTCCTTTTTCATATATGTGTCAATTCCATATGGAATTGAACAAAAGGATAACCTTTTGTGATAAATGCTTATTCAGCAATCCAGAGGTGCTTGCAACAGCCAACTTCAGCTTTACAAAGCAATTTTCTTAAACCGCATAGTTTTTTTCAGTGTCTTTTAGAAGGTCTTCCTTGTTCTGGTCTTCCTTTGCTCTTAATATTTTTTTTTAGTTCTCCAAGTAAAAGGAAAAATATTCCATCTTTCATTTTTCTAAATAAATTTTAGCTGGTTTGGGAAGAGAGAAAGTGAGATATGATTGTGGTAGCTATTGAACTATTATGTGTATGGCTAAAGGAAGTATGCATGGAGCCACAATATTTTTTGATACTAATGACTTGTATCAAGAAGTGAATACGTGAATACCCGATATGCGGTGAATAAAGTATGTCCCTCTGATGCTGTACTATGACTTCCAGCATCCTACATCCTTAGCTAAGGATGCTAAGAACTGTAGCTCAACAATTGGAGGACTACACTTTACTAACTCATGCCATATATTGAAAAATCAATTATCTAATTCTTAACCTTGAAATTTAAAAAGTGTAAAATATTTTGGACCTATACATGCCTTGATAAGGTTGTGAAGTTAACATCTATTAAAAAGAAATCTTAGTGTAATCATGTTATGGTGTATATATGTTCTGTTTTTAAGCACTCTACATTATGCAGGGAGATCAAGTGGGGAATGTATGTCTCCACAATATTTTAAATAACCTGGAGGATTAGATCCAGATCACATTCTTTTAACTTGGATACCACTGAGAACAATGGAACTAGTTAAGCAGAACAATTCCCATTTATTTCAGTGGGTACTAATTGGAATTAAGAGTATGAACAACCTATATTTATTGTACAATGTTCAAGCAGAAGATATTGTGTGATTTTTTATAAATGACTTGAAAAGGGCATTTTATATAGCATGGTATGTCCATTCAACAGTCTTTGAACATCTCACAACTAATGTTCATAACCTCTTTGATGTTCAGAATGCTCAGTTAAGTAAATTTGTTCCTCTTGCATGTTACTTACTGATATTATTGAAGTATATTTACTTCATTTGGCTAAAGTGAGATATTGTATGTAATTGGTTTGTTAAGTGGTTTTTGTCTTATATGTATTCATTAAATTTGGTTTGATTTTAAAAAATGTGTGGAGATTATCTCTCATTTTAAAGTACTAATACAAAAACATGAAGACAGAAGTACAGATGGTTGCTGGACCTACACTGATTCTTGGATGTTTTGAGTGGATAGTCCAATTAAGGGTAAAAGAGCGATCCTTAGTGGCAAGGGGGTGGGGGGAAATAGGGAAACAAGTGAAGTGGCAATAAAAGTATACTGTATCAGAGCCACTAAAATAGGGGGCACTGTTTCAGTCAGCACCTGGAACACACCAAGATGCATTGATGTTGCTACTCACATGGCAATTGGCATAATCAGTTTACATAAATATCCAGCATATTTCAGATTAGGCTACTTGCTTGTTTATGCAAAGCCCAGCTGCCATTTCAAACTCAACCTCTTTTTGTTGTTTTTTTGCTTGCTTGTTTTTGCTCACCTGATACCATCAGACAAACTCTGTCTGCATAATACACTCAACCAGATTAGTTAAAGACTTGGCTATGGAGGACACAAAGGGGGGCTTGGACTGCAGAGACTCAGATTCAATTAGTTATGGAAGCTTGGCAGGTGACTTGAGCCAGTCACTCTCAGTCAGACCTATTTCACAAAGTTGTCACTGAGGAGGGAATGGAGGATGGAGTACTATATAAGCTGTTTGTATAGAAATTATATTTACATATCTCTGCCAAAGGTATACTCTTAAAAGACTCTGCAAATATAAATGTATAAATGTATAATTAAGTGTAAACATAAAAAGATACTGCGGGTGCTCTAAAATTGGGGATTCTCTAATTCTCTGAAGTCTTGCAACCCCTTTAAAATGATGTCTGAATCTGACCACACTCCATCCATACACAACACTAATGATTTCAATGGGTTTAGAATGGGCCTATAAATAAATATGCCAGCTATTTTAATAGTTTCATTTTAATCTATATAGTAGTAAAAGAAATGTACAACTTTATGAAATGGATACAAAAGCAGAACTTTACCAATGAATGAACCTTACAGATACTCTAAAGATGATGGATTTGCTACTATATGCCATGCAGCAGAAATGCCACAGGTATAGGACGTCGTGCAACTCAATCCCTGGGTGCCTTTGGCTAATCATTCTCTCTTCAACCAGGCATATATTCATAATATATATTCACAGGGTTATACACCTTACAGGCACAATATAACTAGGCTTCAACAATCCAGGCAACCACCTGATAGCACATGGAAACACAGAAAATGCTTAACTCTCTGGTGGTAGTTCTCCAAATCTTTGCAGTTCAGACATGATCTAGTTGGTACACCTTACGCTTCTGAAGGAAGTCTATAGATAGGATATATATCAATGAAATAAAGCCTGTCACATGGAGCTGGCACATACATTTACACTCTAAAGTAGCGTTTCTCAAACTTGGCAACTTTAAAATGTATGGATTTCAACTCCCATGCTGGTTGGGGAATTCTGGGAGTTGAAGTTCACACATCTTAAAGTTGCCAAGTTTGAGAAACATTGCTCTAAAGGATGTTTTGTACAAAACACTGTTTCTAACGATTTTGACTTACCTGTTTAATTTATTAATTGCTTTACAATCCTATCCCAAAGAATAGTGGGCTGGGACGATTAAGATGCGGTAAATGGGCTCTGCTCTTGATGAGACAGTTTCACCCACGGAGCTTCAATTACACCCACGGAGCTTCAATTACACCCACGGACAGCAACAGGCATCTAATTCTGATCAAGCGC